TGGTTGGTATTTTTTAATGGAAACACTTAAAAGTACGCACACATTTTTTGTATCGTGGCCTTGTCGGCATTGTCAGTTAATTAAAGCTGTATCCACTTTCAATCAAGTTATCCCCCCAACGAGCCTCCTACCATTCGCATTCACCTGTATTATTGGTTAAGCAGTAACATACATACATACATATAAATACTCATATGTACTCATTTGTGATTCGTACCTGTATGTGAATATTTATCTTTAACCGCACTTCACCACTCAACCTCAATTCCCCTTCTTAACAACTTACCTAAACTCATTTGGCTCTCCTTCAATTGCTGCAAATTCTCCGCTGCCATCTCGAAATTCTCCTCTGCTATCTTATTACCCATGACTAGTGTTTCGAAAACCGCAGTCGTCCGATCGAAATACTCACTGACGAGTCGAAAAAACCGCAACGATGTGATGAGCACATTCCGACGCCGCTCAAGCCGTGTAGCAAACGAGCGGCAAACAAATTGCATGAAATCACGCTGCGACAACAAATCCTTATAGGCGTATGTATCCTTGAACCCGGCGAATGCATCGATTTTATACAGCAATTCCGCATAGAAGCCATACGTTTCGCGGCACTCCAGCTCGAGTGCATCGTGTGCGGTACGCAGCGTCTCGCAGCTGTGCACATCACCGCCAATACTATACTGGCGACTGAGCAGCTGTTCGGCAGTCTGTAGAATCCAATTTGTAACGAAGGCGACACCCTCTTCCAGATGTGTCAGTTCGCGTGCTTCACGTATGCTCTGCAAGAGTTCCAGCCACGCGGTGCGTATTTCGGTTTGCTTACGTTCGATTTGATTAAGCAGAAGTTCGATGCGTGCGCGTGCACTTTGAAGGTCCGGCGGCAGGGACAAGCGTGCAGCGGGCGAATTGGTTGAGGTGCAGGTGGCATTCGAAGGTGACTGAAAGCTGTGGCCATTTGGATCGTGGCAGGAAAGCGGAGATACGGCATTTATACTTATGACAGTGGACGTGTTTGGCATTTGATTTTGTACGGGTAAATAATCGCTCGACGAATGGGAATGAGCTGAGACTAGTTTGGGGGGTGAATACGCCTCGGCCAATCGATTTAATACGCGATTGCCTGGAAATGTAAAAGGAGAAAAACAAAACGTTGAATTTAAATGAGCCAAATGAACTTTACTGAATTTTGTAGAAGCACACATTTTTCCTGTGTAGTATTTATGTAGAGTAAAGAGCACAATTACTTTTCTACGTGATAGCGTAAACGCTTCAACTCGCACTTTCATATTCTCTAGTACTTTCTATCTTCCACTGCAGGTGAAAGGTGAACTATGGTAGCTGCATAGTCTAGAAATCAAGTGTGTTGAAATTGCATTAAACTTTCCTTTGCGTAGCCAATATTGCATTGAAAAAGTTAAGTGGAAATCGGTGTTTCGCTTAGAGGAAAGGAAAGTAAGTATTGAATAACATTGCTTACAAATAATGAAGCTTAAAAGCCACAAAATGTACATATGTATACATATCTACAAGTATTACTTAAGTAGATGGGTAAGTGGTAGGGTCTTCGTGTTATGCAAAAAGTGGCAATTTGACAAAAAAAAAACAGTTCCCCACATCATGTAGGCCATTCACTGGTGCTACGACAAAAAAAGGGAAAGATTTTCGTTAGGTTTTCCTTTTATTTTTTAAGTAATTTTTTTCAGTGGAAAATATTTCGGTATATCACGATTTGTACAGTTATAAATATTTGTACATTTTGACAAATACAGAGTGGATTTTTTTTTATTTTCGATACAAATTTCTAGACAACACCACTCTGTGACTATTAAAATGTACAAATCCGTACAAATATACAATTCATGTGATCTCTGCTTAGTAAAATTGTAACCGGCCGATGTCTGTACATTATAGATATTAAAGAAAAATTATTATGGGAGGTCTTTACTAGAGCAACAGCAGCCAAATCAAAATTTTTTTACATTTTTGTCTGTGTATCTGTATGTTTGTACGCGCATCATTCAAAAACTAATGCATGAGATTGAATGCAGTTTTGACTGGTGCATTGCTAGCGGTCTAACTTAGAATTTAGAAAAAAATATAATTAGAGAGTTGGCACCTGTTTGAAAATTGCAATTTAAGAATATTGATTAGATCAAGGAGATATCGCAGTATGGCCGTCAACAGAAAGAGGTTTAACAGGGCTTATAGCCGAAAATATTTTTGTGGAAGGTTATCATCTGTTTGAAATTTTTAATTTAATATAAAAAAGTATTGCAAATTGGGGTATCAAACTAAATAGGTTTAGGTAACTTTATTCCCGAAAATATTTTTAAGAGGGTTGCCACCTGTTTGAAAGGCTTTATCCAATTAGACTTTTAAAATAAATGAAATATTACAATGCGGTTATTAAACCAAAGAACTTTAAGAATGTTTACTGCCGGTAATTTCGGGTTTTCCAAAAACCTAAAACTTTATTTAAAAAAAACATACTAACCACATGCGCCAACCTGGCAAAGTTGGTCTTTAGTTTCTTTCCAAACTTCCATTGCCATTTCTATCACCTTTACCATTATAAATACAATTGTCACTGCCACTACAGTTACTCTTAACAGTACCATTATGTTTTATTCACTTTTTTTCTAATTTCATACTTATTTTCAATAATGTAACTGCCAACTAGTTTGCCACTCAAAGTCATATTCATTGGTGAAATGTAAATGTCGCAATCAAAATCATTAGCGTATGACGAATACGATACTACGCAGGTATGTACATATTTACTACAGGCATAAGCCATTTGCATACACAATACGCATGTATATTTATTCATACACTCATACATATGAATGTCGTTCCAATACAACAAAGTACTATATGGCTTAAGAGCATACCAAATGCCTTTGGCCTCTTTCTTTTGTGCGTATTTTTCAACGAGTGCCTAAATTGCTGAAGGCCTAACTCATAAACTTAAAGATTTACTTATAGCAGCATTATGCAAAAATGATCATAAAAAGAAATAAATATGTCTAAAAATATTATGCTGAGGATTAAGTAGCCGCTACTCTGTCTTATTTCCGTTTTGTGCATTTTTGCTACTCAAATTCGCTAATTTAAATTTTTTCGCATATTTCACTCAAAAAGCCGAAAACCTTTTTAAAAGCTATTTAGCTGTAAAAAGCGAATAAATTATTCATAATTTTTCATTAATTAATTAAGATTCACTTCAAAGCCATGGTCCGCATGCATTGTCTAGCAATCTATCGCACAGAAAAACAAAAGACTCAAGCGACAAACTTGTTTTCCACATAACTTCGCAGCAGCCACCGTTGCTGTGCCACAACCCGTTTATCAAAGCTTTTGCTTTTTGAATTTTTAATTGCCGCAAAAGTATATATCACACAACTTTTTTTAAAAGCATTTAATTTATGTTAACTTAAATCAGTCGGATGTGCGTCTCACGTCTTAATTAAAGTAGCAGCATCTGAGGCTATAAAAAGTTCATAAAACGCATATTTTTTCTTTCTTAATAGGCATTACTTAATGCACTCTTTATCAGCTTACCCAATTCTATGA